GGGGTCTTTTTTTTTTTTTTTTTTTTACGGGAGGGCAACATGGTGGAACCTGATGGTGGCGGAGGCGGCGAACAGATGGCGCGAGTGTGTTAGCATGCCGACCAGAAGTCAGGGGTCAGAAGAGGCTATTTATCCAGTCAGGAGACAACATCCTCCCCCAAATGATCACCCTAACCTGTTTGCACCTAACAAAATACAGCATGGAGGTAGCACAACCCTTTCAATTATTGCATAATTTCCATGCAAGCATGTTATGCTTGCATGGAATTTTAGCCATTTTAGTGACTCTTAAGAGCATCTTGATGCTTGGTATCTACTTCAGGGAGTGAATTTTTATCAATATTAGACTTTGCTTTCATTTGCTGCTCTGATTTGCTATTAATGTTAACAAGCAATGCAACAGGCCCACCCTTTAAGGTGGCTGGTGAGTGTGTTTATCTTTTGAAGTGAAACTCGCATCAGATGTTGGCAGCAGCCCAAGTGCTGCGGGAAAGAATACTTCATCTGAACACAGTTGAGGTGAAATGCACAGCCAGGTTTATTAGCATCTTGTACAAGATGGGAGCGTCACTTTATGCTCCAACGCCTGTTTTGCCTCCCGAACCGCTTCCTTTTCTTTCATCAAATAACATTTGGAATATAGCACCTATTATGATCTGTACTTTTATAATGCACATTTGTCATGTACAAAGGGGCCGGGGTCATTTAAAATATGCTCTTTTTTAGCTTTATATCAGGTTATGTTATAAAGTGCTCATAAAAAACAAAGCTGGAGTGTTGCTTATCAAAATTATTTGATCTGTAAGCAGCCAAGTCCATCAGCTTTGTTGTTCCTGTACATGAACCTGCCTGCCACTTTCTAATAGCTTCATCTACAAACGTATGTTACCAGCTCTTACCGGTCTGCTTTAATCAAACTCTAGTTTGTTTGCCTAAACAGTTCATTTCTTTGGGGAGGTGTGGATGTGCAATGAAATTCTAATGTGGACCAATAAAGAAAACTTTGGTCCTCCTAAAAAAAATCTGGGTCTTGGTTCGGTTCAGTTGAACTGTGGAACAGTTTGAATACATATGTGAACACCAAGTGGACTGGAGACTGCTACAAAAGCAAGAAGTGGACTATAGTGCAGGGCATTCTGGGTAAATATAATCAAAACAAGTGTGCAGGTCTACACCTAGCTAGAGAAATGGCTCATGGTCAAAGACATAAAATCTGATGCCACTCCATTTCTGTTTCAGAATGATGAAGAAAGTTGCATTAAGAGTTTTCTTCATTAGTTTCCTTCATTAGGTCTTGGTGCAGCGCCACCACAGGCGAGGAGGGTAAACAGGCATTTTAAAGGATTGGATTGGCTTGTTTGAGACAGTCCGGTGTGAAAATGAACCATCTGAACATGCAACATGTTAGAACTTTGGTTCCCAATCAAACCGATTCTACTCGGTGTGAAAAGACTAAAAGTCTCAGTTGAAGTTGACAGAGGTTGGTCTTTGAGTCTATATTTTATCTTTTACTGCTTGTCTTCATCAAGTCGAGCACAAAATCATTTTCAGGAAACCCATGCTGTTGTTTTCTGTGCACGTCTTCTAGCAATACAGAAGTCCGATTTTGAGATTGGAGCTCTGTAATGAGTTGACTCACACTTCAGCAGCCAGAAAACTCTGAGGGCATTTTCTAATCTTTTCTTTTCTGAAATCATAAACCTGTAGCCTCGAAGCCAATCTTCTGTTTGATGAAGACAACTTTTATGCCTGTTGCTCTCATTCTCTTGCCCGTTTTTCTCCCCACCTGCTCATTTGCAGGTGATAAATGTGTAAGTGTCCTAACGGGAGAGACCCTGGAGGCGAGAGGTTTTCTGAGGGCGTCGCAGAAAACCAAAACTCTGCAACTCTTGCTTTACGTGAGGCTGTGATGTGTCAGTCATGCTTCTTTTGACAGAATGATCCACAAGAAGGATCAATATTTCATCCATCTAGTCTCAGCTGTAGTACACTTCTCCTTAGAGCCCTTTCATCTTCAGAACCCACTTTCTGGGGTCAATTTTCTCTTCCTTGCTCTTATAGCCGAGTCGTGTCGCATCCCTGGCTTCTGTGATGCACTGACATTCACCTCACCAGTCCGTAAGCTACTGGAAATGACTGAACTGTGACTTTTCCCAGCTTTCCATTGGATCCTTGCTTGGTTAGGTCATTTCGAGGGAGAGAAAGACTCCAGACTCCAGCGAGAGGTCTGCTAAATACCACAGAGCTTCGTGAAGAGCTTATCGGAAAGCAGGACTCACCTCTGAGAATGAAAGCATGAATGCAGACACACAGTGCAGAGTAAAAAATGTGAAATGCCTCTAACCACAGGAAGGCTGTTTCTTTCACTGTTGTGCCAAATAAATCCAACATTGTCAGTTTCCCCCAATATCAGACAAATGTTACAGTTGACATGAAACGCAGGAGTCCCAGCATGAGAGCCACTCCGACAAATGATAAATTGATTGGCTTCTACAATTTCTTCTGACTGGGACTCCTGCCGTTTGCTGCAAGCAGCTGCTTTGTTCGTGATTGGCCGCTGCTGTACTTTCCAACACAATACCACGATTGAAGTGCATAATTTCAATACCAGCGTACTCTCTTCCTTTGTGATTACTGATGAAGCCATTTTGCACTTTTATGACATACTTACACCCATAATACGTTGAACTTTCCACATTTTGTGAGGGTACACCCACAAACCTCGTAATATTTTTCAGACTGTGAGATAGTTTCTTGACTGTGGTATAAAACGGCACTTTATGTCTGGATTTACTTCCTCTTTTAGAAATACGCGAATACTTTCTGTTTTTTTCTAAACGAATGCAACATCTTCTGGCCTCTTTTCACCCATTTCTGTTTTCTTGCCTCTACGCCATAAAGTCCAACTTTATAGAGTGCAGGACCAGTATTTGCACTGTCTGCAGATTCTCCCGCCAGAGCTGCGGTGAGAGAGAACGGCTGCGCATGCAAACTGCAAGTCAGTTTGATAATGGGAACTAATGGACTATAAAATCCTTTGATTTTTAACTGTTACAATTCTTAAGTTTAACCAAGTTGGCTTTATTAAGCGCCAGCAAAGGTAAACATGTTTTACCTGTTTAAATGTGTACTTTAAATCATTTTGACAGATCTTCTCCACATGGCCTCAGCTCAGCCTCCTCCATCCTTTTCGCCTCGTCTCCATGGGGAGCAGAGCAGCTGAAAGCTCTGCTGTCTGAACCCAAAGCTCCCACTGGACACTCAAAATTTTGACTCCCTCTGTTCTGATCCAGACTCTAAACCAAGACGGTGTACTATATGTTGTCATCCCATTTTATTCTGCATAATTGAAAATCTTTTATACCTTTTTTTATTTGCTTCTTGTTGAAAGGTGCTTGTGAATAAAGTATGTTATCATTACTATTATTGAAAACCTTTTAGTCTGTTCTTGAGAATAACATTAAAATCCTCTTTGGCCTCTGTTGACCTTGTTGAAGATTTAACATGTTTAGCCTTGGTAAGCCTGTGTGAAATGCAGCCTAATTTCTCTGTTCTTTGCTGACAGGAACGCCACTCAATGTGTGGCATCCTGCTGCTGTAGCTCATCTGCTTCAAGATTTGATGTGCTGTGCTTTCAGAGCTGGTATTCTGCATACCTCAGTTGTATTGAGTGGTTATTTGAACACCTGCTACCTTTATACAATCTCAATTTAGTCTGTCAGTTTTCCTCCGTCGTGATCAGCAATTCATTTTCTGCCATCACAACTACTGCTCTTACTAGGTTTACTTTTTTTCTCTTTTAAAGATAATTCTCTTTAAATCTGAGAGATTGTTGTGTGTGAACTGATCAGTTTCAGAAATATTCATACCAAGCCCACCTGGTAGCAGCAACTGTTCAATGTTTAAATGTTTTCTTCTTGGAAAGTGGGTCAAAAATCACAAAATAACAACTCATAGACTCATAACTCTCATAAAATCACTAGAATATGCAAGTAAATTTAAATAAGGTATACTGACATCACAAACAGCCTCAACATATGTACTTTTGCCTCTATCAGTTAGCATAGGTAGCACATCTACCTTCTAAATTTCTTGACGTCAGTTTCCCCCTTGCCCCTGTACATCAGTGTTTGCTTGCAGAAATGACTCGCATGGTATTTCTTAAAACTTTCTTGCCACACATGCATTCCTGCAGCACTTTCGAAAAAAAAAACAAAACAAGAAAACTTCATTGCATTGATTTCCTGCTTCTCTGCGACCAGAAATAGCGCACTGTGCCGAGTCCCTGGTTGACGCTTCTCTGTTCCAGACAAGCAGGCGAACGGTGGGGAGGGAGGACTGGCAGGCGGGGAATGGAGAGAAGGGGAACCGACAGCGAACGAGCCTGTGAGAGCCTCCGATGACAGTCGGTCCCAGACGAGGCCAAATAAACAACGAGCCAGTGAGCAGAGCACAGAGACGTGCTCTAATCCTGGAGAGAGAAAACGGAGAGAGACACAGAGACAGAGCTGAGGAATAAGATGACACAGCATGCTGAGGTTTTGGATGGGCTAATGAGTTTGGCTGACATTCCTGTGAAAGGCAGACAAAGGGACACTCCTTTTTTATTATAAAGAAAATCTGTTTTTTTTTATCTTTAGGAGAACAAGTCTGTTGCTTTTTATCGCATCAGAGCAGCTAGAAGGTAATTACATAGTAATAGACGACGCAGCAGAGGAAACAATACACAGCCTGAACTGACTGAATCTGCTGGTTTCGCCATGCGAGCCCGCGGCCACATGGAGGCGGCACGCAGTTCAGAGCCAAAATGAAGAGAGATGAAGAGGCATTAGTAATATCAACTATATTCGCCGATCGATAGCCATTTCTGTCGCTGTTATAGGTGTGTCTGGGTGAAGGTGCTCCTCCAGTGACCCTGTTTTTTTTTACATTTCCCCTCCTTTATTCATTCTTTCCTTCTTCACCACCTCGTGCTTCTTTACTTTACTCATCTAATCCAGAAGGTCTGTACCAGCTCGGCGGTCCATGCTGCGCCCCTCAGAGCAGCATTGAAGGTTTGGACGATGCAGAGGTGGGTGTTTTCTCCTCTCGCTCTCTCTTTTTTGATTCAATCCTCTAGTAGCATCTCTCCCTGTTCATCATCCTTCTTTTGCAGAGGAAATGTAAAACCCACGTGCTGCTGCTGGCGGTGCACGGTGGAAACATCCTGGACACGGCCGGTGGCGACCCGAGCACAAAGGCTGGCGATGTGGCCACGCTGGCCTCGGTGCTGGAGAAGGTGACCCGGGCGCATTTCCAGGCCGCCGAGGAGCATGTGATGATCAAACTGGTGCCGTGTCCGGCCGTGTGTGCCGAAGCCTTCTCTCTAGTGTCCAAGTGAGCACTAGCTGCAAGCAACACTTGCAGCTGGTTTTATTATTTTCTTTATACGGGGCCTTACAAAAATACTCCGATATAAGCAATCCCCAAAGTGTCTTCTTTGGGGAATTTTATGAATCAATCAGATTTGGGATTTTTAAAGGTTTCATTTTTGTCAGATCTGCATTGCTTGTGGCCAATGCACTCCTTGGGCCGCCATCTTGTTTTGTGAAGCGGGTTTTACGACTTCTTTATATTTAGCCTTTCAATTCTCGTCAACTCTGTGACTCTTGGATGAAATTTGATGGAACATCAGGGCCGGTATAAGATTTATCTATTTAAAATTACATAATAAAGCCGTAATATTACCAGAATAAAGTCATAATTTTATGAGAACTCAAACACAAAAATTCAAACAAACAACGACAAAAATGTAAATGAGGAATGTTGAGCATTTTGTTCATTTTCACTTTGGTTTAAGTTTTACAGATAATACTTAAAAACTATAGAAATTCTTTTAACACAGCAGCATCAAATTATCTTCAGCAGCTTAATTTTGGAACCATCATTCAAACATTTTGAAGAAAGAACGACATGGACTGAACTGCTCAGGTCAGATACTGAGAACTGTGGTTTTGTCTCATAATTTTAAGATGTTTCTTCCTGACATTGTTGACGATATTCTCCTAATTTTAAAAAAGCAAGAAAAAAAATAGATAATTTAGTCATAAACTGGATGAAGAAATCTGAGATTTTATTTTTAGATACAGTTTTTATATTTTTATGTAGGAAACCACTGTGAGGCTGTAAATAATTGCAAAGTCTTGGTAGTCAGGCCATTCTGTCAGCATCTTTTAGACTCCATATTTATTGGGCTTGTCTAAATCCTTCCTCTATAAGCTCTGCACATCTAGAGAATGAATTTGTTGCTTATTCTTTTTTGCGTAGCTCGAGATGGTGAGATTTAGATGAAGAACTGGGAGATGGTCAACATCCATCTCAGTCTTAAGTTGTTTGTTACTTTTAAAGAGGTGGTTTTATATCAAATCCATCATATTATGATGTTATTCGCTCATCAAAAATCCATTCATTCGTTCATGTCTGAGGAATCCTCAAATCTCCTGTGGCAACCATTTGGGGTCGGTCTGTCTTCACGTTTGCTCCCACAGAGCACCCCGTCATGGTGACCCCCCCTCTGAGCTCCTCCAGACTAGCAGCAGCAATTAGCAAACACCTAAAAGTGGTTGAAAACGTAATAATGAGAAGCAATGTTGTGACGATACACTTGAGGCGCAGCGTCAGAAAGAGCAAGAGCTCCTTAAAAAAACAGACACCCAATTTCAAGGTGTCAAATTTCTTTTGAGTTATGTTTGATACAAGCAACATTTTTATGAATGAAACTAGCATTTTGACTTGATTTATTAATGTCACTTTATGACTCAGAACTATCGCGATTTTATGCAGTATTCAAATTGTGTGCACCTCTATGTAAATACTTTTATAGCTTGCTTGAGGTCATCAAATTGTTGTTTTTTTGAGAACAATTTGATGCAGAAATCCAAACTTCCAAGTGTTTCAGAGGATAATATTATCTGCCCTCTGCCTTGTGCTGCAGGAAGGAGAAAACAAGCCGACACGCAGCTGCAGGCGGTTGCAATGAAACGCTCTGCCTTTTCACAGAGGATGAGAGAACGACACGACATCGTAGCTCCTGCTACACATCTCCAATTTTTTACATGACAAACCAGTTATTTATGTCTTATCATCCCCAAATATTTAAAAAGCACTAAGCACACTTTTAGAAACGCACTCCTTTCCCCAGATCTGGCGACGTGTGCCAGAACAGTTTCCTGAATGAGGAACTGGGTCAAACCTGATGATATTTCTGTAAGAATCAGGATCAGCATGCAGTCCTTCGAACAGATGAAAGCTCAAAAAGCACGGAGTCAGTCTGTAGCTGTTCCTTTTAGAAGAATTTATGGTTTTTTCTAGAGTTGATGACTTGTGCTGCTTGTGTAATCCACTTGGCATTCACATCCATATTTATGGACTAGAATCCGCTTCAACAAACTGAAACCTGGGATTTTAGCTAGATCAGAGTTTGATTTTTTTGTTTCGGATCAGACTTTCTATGAAAACAAACTAGAATTTGATTAAAGTGGACAATACAGGGCTGGGGTGAATGCGCCCTAAATGGCAGAATAATGAACAGGATCCAGAAAACATTAAGAAGCTTAGGAGACAGACACCTATTTACCTTTTTTTTTATTTCTCCTTGTCATATTGGACGCATCATTTAAACACAAACAAGTCCTTCAGACAGATCCCGTTGACGGCCTTTGTTGTTTTATTTTCAAAGAAGAACCTCTAAAATACTCCAAACAGCAACCAGCACCCTGACTGTGACCTTGCTGCATGTACTATGAATATTAGCTTCACTCATGCAACAACATGAAAAAGCTGCAGATTCAGATTGTGTTCTGTCAAGCACACAAATTGAATCTATTTTCCCACTAACTCGTTTGAGTCACTGCTTGCAAAATGTATCGGGTATCCAAGTCGTGATGAGGAAATAAAAAGTCGTGAAAGAAAAAAATGTTTTATTAGATCCTTTTCTGCTCACCAACTTAAATATTCAGCACATTGCCTGACTTTGGAGAGCTTTCAAGCGTCAGGCATTAAGGTGCAAACCTGCCAGGATAACTGGGGAAGGAAAGGGTAATTGGAAAACTTTATTGATCAAGGCCTCATAAACAGACAGTGTGAAGATAATCAAAGTCCAGAGGAGAATCCTTGTATCTCAAAATATAAAAGCGTTAATTTTCTCACGCTTTTAAAGGAGAATTATATATTTTCCAGTGCTCTTTTGTAGCACAATCAAGTCACTATGTTACATTCAGTTGTTAAAAAATCTTAAATGTATCAAACATGACTTACTAAAAATTTAATTTGGTAATTTAATGCCTTGAAATCGGGCCTCCTTCTCTTCAATAACTCATGCTCTTTCTGAAACTGCGCCTTGAGGAAGTCATCATAACATGGCTCCTCTATTAGCCCTTTAGCAATGTTTTTACCAACATTGCACCGAGAATGAACTCAGCAGATTTGCTCTTCCACCTGGTGTTTGCCAATTGCTTCTGGTTAGTCTGAAGGAGCTGAGAGGAGGAGAAACTTTGTCCTCGAAGGCGGAGCTACGTCCACCCAGGCGTTTACACAGCTGACTGGCTGCCATGGAAAATTTCTCAAACATGCATGAAAGAATCAAAGCAACATTCCAGGTATGGTTTTGATGAGGAATTATAACATAATATAAACCTACAAAATACTTCCCCTTTAATTTTTTTTTTATTTCTTAAAATGTGAGTGGCCTTGGATAAATATTTAGATTACAATATATTATCAATTGTTCCTCTGTAATCTGTCTGGTTCATTATGTCCTGCTACTTTGCTTTCAGGTGTTATTTGTGTATAAGTTTTACAAAAAAGCTTAATTGTCGATGCAGAGAGGGCAGCGCCACAGTAAACATCAGTCGCCCCAATTATAAATTATACACAAGTATAACACAACACTTGTGTTCATTGCAGTTATCTCCGTGAGCTACTTGTGTGCATGTCTGGGTCATTTAGATGGACACGAGGTGAAGATATGTCTGTGTTTATCGGTTTGCTTTTCTTTCTCCCAAATGCTGCCTTTTGAGGAAGCTGCTCGAGTGTAACTAATGATTTCATTTTACATTCAGTGTCACATTTCCCAGTGGTCACTGGTTTTATCTCTGACAGTGTCAATTAGTTTTTTGCTGCTCTCCAATTACACGCCGAGGATGTTTTTGTCTGAAATGTCAGCGATCACCTCGGCTGACAGAACGCATTTGGCTTGTGACTGATGTCGGCGCTGAAGGCCAGGAATGTGAAAAGACAGCAGAGCGGAGGGAGCGCGCGGCAGCTTGACGTCGACTTGGCTTCTTGCACATCTAGATGAAATATTCAAAACAACAAGTTCCCGTCGGATCCGAGCAACTGTTGAGCCGCTGTCACGCGCGCCGGTTTTCTGTACTTTGTTTGTCGGGACACGCGGGCACAGTTTAATCTTTGAAAGATCATTTGAGTGTTCTTGAAATGTATCTTTGCACTAGAAAGGAATCACAAGCTACTAAAGACGTGTTATTGCAATCAAAATGCATCAACTTTATTCACTTAAATAAAAAAAATTGATAAGATGCGGAAATCAACTTTCAGGAGATAATTTTGTTTTGGTAGGATTTTGTAAACATCATCAAAGTTGAAATATCTTCTGCTATAAAAGCTAATTTGGCGTAATTATAATCAGTGCTTTCTTCAGTATCCAGATCAAGGATTTGTGTAGTTTTTATGATTTTTCTTCTGAATACATTTGAGGAATTAGGGTACCTACTCTGTTTTTTGTGTGTTTTTTGTTTTTTTCAGCTCTCCAGCTCCAAAGTGAGTGACGGGATGAAAGCTGCCTAGACACAAAAAGTACACAGAAATCACAGAATATTATTTTGAATTAGTATTTTCTTATCAATTTTAGCTGATTTTGAATATTTATAATAACCTTGTGGGTGGATAGATTTTTATTCTATTTAACAATTACCACAGTGATCAATAATTTAATCATTTGGCAATAGCAAAATTATTGCAAATATTTCTCTGTATCTCTTTCAAGTCCAAAACTCTGTAAATTTCTTTATTAATTGCCTGAGCGTCGCTGCACTAGAAAGAAGCTGTGCTTTGAACGCTCTGGCCTTTAGCCTCCTTTATCATAGCTGCCGTTAACTTTAGACAATGGGATAATTTAAAACGCTTTTAGGGGCTTTTTTGGTAACTTAGTTGGTAAAAAGCAAGAAGAAAATACCCATAAAAATATAATCTCAACATTACTGGACTACGAGAATGAGATTTTAACAGGCCAAACTCTAGTTAGCGTCCACTACAGCATGAACAGCCTGCTCCTTTTGGAACTGTCCTAAATCTAAACATCGTAAAAATACACAAAAATG